TCACCTGCCATGCGTTGGCAGCCACATTTCCCAGGATTGTGATCGGACCCAAAAACAACTCCCTTGCCAAGGACCGGTATTGCATTTGGAGATCAACTGACATGTGCATCTCTGTCACCTCGATGCCACTACGCAAGTTAATGGGACTTCTTTTTCTTTCGGTCGCATCCCCCGGAACGCATGAATATATTTGCCCCTTCCAATCAATAGCCACCAGTATTTTCGCCATGGCGGAACTGAGCTGGCAGCGGCTCTAGAGGGCAATTCCTCAAGGGACCTTCATGGGTGACTCTCAATTGTGGGAAACCAAACGGAACACCAATACTCCACCAGTTGAAGGGCTCTAACCTCAAAAAGACGAGCCACCCCTTGAAACCCACAGGCAAACACGGCAATCCACCGAACTCGCCTGCAACTCCGCCTCCGCGCGGCGCTCCGAGCTCAGCCTCGAAAGCTCGGAAGCGGCACGCTTGCGCTTTCCGGGCGAAAGGGCAGCGACTTCAGAAACAAAACCATCACGGAAGTAAAAATATAAGAAGCTATATACTTAAAGGGGCAGGGTACCCAGAACTGGCGAGCCAGCCATTTTGGTCAATCGGAGTCAATCACTTGCCTGAATTTGCTTTTTCGTCCCCAGAAAACAAAAAACAATAAACAATATTTCCAGTAGTAACAGATTCCCTTTTCAAGCACATGGAAGTATACGCTCCCTCCCACTAGCACGGCACCTGGGAGGGCACCTGGAAGATGAGTTTCAGCTTGGTGGGAACCCTGACAGGTGCCATATTCGTGAGAGACAGGGTAACAAGCAATAATGTAACTGCAAGCAAGAAGAAGGATGATCACAGTGATGATTCAACAATAACACTACTACTCGAATCAATACCGATGACAACAATAACAATAATAACAGTGATGATTGCAAGAATGATAATGCAAATAGGGAGCACCTTTCGGGGTTTGCTTCTAGGTGAAACTTGGGAGCTCCCGTTTTGATCTGCGTCTGAAGCCAAAAGGCAACCAACCAACAAATGTGAGCATCCTGCAAGACCGTGCTGGGGGGGAGGTGCTTCCCCGACCGTGTGCCAGTTTGACAATCAGGGCAGTTGTGAGCTCTTAAGAGAAACTACCTGAGATCCCAAACACATTTTTAGAACTCTTGCTGTCTCATCTGGGCCATGCTAAAAGGGTATGTTTGACGCAGCGCCATTTTGGTGTTCAAAGTAAGCCAGCCCCCCTCGCCCCCGTGACACCTCGGACACAAGGTCGACAATGCGAATGTGTCACCCGTAAACATCTCTCCCTCAATTGGCCAGGATAAATAAACCCGCCTGCTTTTGAAATGTGGTGGTCTCACGCTTCTGGTGTCCCACTGGCAAGGGACACTGTGTCGACACAGCCCCACACCGCACGTCTTCTGGACTTCGAGGCTCAATGCCAGCACCTGCTTAGGAACCTGCAGTGCTAACAGCATTGATATCCGGTTCATCTGCATAAAGCCCTGCGGATGAACTGGAGATAAGTCCCTTTTCGGTGGGAATTAGGGAACTCTGAGAACAGTCTTCCAGAGTATTGTATTCTTGAATTGAAGAGTGTCGCGCATTGCCTGGTAACCCCGCAGGGTAGCGGCAAATATTGTCCTTGCCAATAGCCGCTCAGACTTTGGATGCTGCGCCTTGTGACTTGCATTTCAGCATGCCCTTCAAAAACAAGCCAGGGTACAGGATTGTGCTAAGAACACAGAAGCTAGCAAGGAGGAACGGGTGGGGTAGGGTGGGTAAGCTATGAAAGGGATACACTGACAATGGATTCGTACAGGTGTCCATCAAACAGCCTGCCACAGTCACCAGCTGTGGCACCCGGCTGTGCTGCAAGGTGCTCACACCTGAGAGGGGCTCCGTGATATGGGTGACGGGTGTGTCAAAACAAATGGACATGAGAGGGGCTGAAGCGGTTGGTTTCATGGTGGCTGCCTGTTTAGCTGAGCCAAACATTCCCCTAGTTTCGGGACGCATACCCTCCGCTCATTCGCAACATAACAAACAACCATTCTCCCTAGCAAATGACAGTCAATGTCAGCTATGTTCCAGTGCAAATGTGGCTAGGACAAGCTATACAAGTCCATCTGTAGCTGCGACGATTAATCTCTTTGTTGACTCACTTCCTATATTCCATACGCGCTGGCATAGGCAACTTGCAGTTTGCAACCACAACCAGCTATTCAGACAGTATCTGAGCTTCGGTATGACAGGCAAATATCATGTATGGTTTCATTGCTATTGCTGTCTTTTTGGATTTGTCATTTGTTTCATCTTCTTTTCATCCTTCGTTTCCCCCTGTCTCTCTCTCAATTTCTCGTCCTTCTTGCAGTATGTCTTCCCGTCTCTCTGACTTCTGCACTGCTTGCCCTTTCTTGAATGTAAATTATGCAGTCATTGCGCAGACTGTGAACCTGTGAATGAATTCGAATGTCCCCTCATTGTCTTTCTTAAAGGGGCCGGGTGCTTTGTAAGTGGCGAGTAACTGGTTATAACTCACTTTGGAGACTTATATCATGTGTCCCCGAAGGGCCTCCCGAGGGAGGGCCTCCCCAGATTTGGTTTTCTTGCATGTTTACTGTTGGTTCAGGTTTTCTGTGTTTTTCATGATGTGTGACCGTTGTTGGGGGTACTTTGCTCGAATCTAGCTGCAATTGCTCAACTCCGCCAAGTGCAAAGGTAACGGCAAAGGTGGGGCCCTGCAAAATCAGGAGCGAGAAGCCAAACCTGCTGCGATTCCCAAGTGAGGTGGTTTAGATCACCAGTGTAATGTTGAGGGCAGCCCACCCTCCCCTCCCTTCCCTCCCCTCCCTTCCCCACCCCCTCTTACCCCCCCTCCCCTCCCCTACCACCCCTCTTACTTCTCAAAAAGAAACGATGTTTTGGTCCCTTTTCGAAGTATGGTACTTTGACTAGAATCCTGGGGCATGTGTTCTAGGCTGGATGTCTTTCGAGATGGCGGTTTTGAAGGATTTGTTGAAAATAAGAGAACATGTCCGCTTTGAGCATTCTCATCTAAATAACAAATTATTAAGCGTTATTAAGCGTTATTAAGCCTTATTAAGCCTTAATAAGGCTTAATAAGGCGTAATAAGGCTTAATAAGGCTTAATATGGATTCGAGTCAAATCTGGGAAATCTGGGGAGGCCCTCCCTCGGGAGGCTCTTCACGGACACATGATTATAACCATGGCTTTTGTGGGTTACCTCACCATGTATATTACAACCACTTGCCTGACGTACAATGCACCGTTAAGTAGGGAGGGAGGGGGGTTGATTGATTTAATTCAGGTCTTGTTTTCCTTGAGGATTGCTGACTTGGGAGAATGTGTGAGGAAGGGGGGGGGAAAGGGACTTGACTGATTTGATTCAGGGTTAGGTGCTGCCAGCAGCAAACCCCAAGAGCGAAAGGGGCCAAGCCACTCCTCCCGCGAGAGGCGCGCGGGGCCCTCCACCAGCTCTGCCTGAAAGGGCGCCCGGGGACAGCACGCGGCTGTGGATGGACGCGGAATCCATTTTGCAGCAACTTGAAACCATGGTTGCCACGATGGTTTCTTGGTATTTGCGTTAAAGAATCGAATCTTTCCATGGTGGGAAGTGGAGTTCGTCCATGCACAGTAGTTCCGAAGGCCCATTCGATTGCACTAGACAGGGTTTATCAACCAATGGCTATGGTCAGTGCTTTTGCAGGGGTCACTGGCTTGCCCCTTCAAAAGTTGCAAACCGGTGGCCTCCATTGAAAGTGTTTCTTTTGGAGGTTCAAAAAGGAACATTGAGGGATTTATGGTCTCCAATCTGTTCAAGGGGGCACCGGGGCCCTTTTAACAATTTTGAGAACCTCACTCACTTTCAGGGACCCAAATACAAATGAATCCGGCGCCTTGAGAAAGGCACTTGCTGAACAGCCCAAAGGCTTTCTGACGGCGTTTGACGGGCCGGCGAATGTTGACCCCGGATTTAAAAACCCGTCCTATTCATAGGGGTGCGCCTCCAATAATGATGAAAACCCACAAAACCAGGGGCCAGTGATAAACTGGGGTTTATTAATCACTTGAAGTAGCATGCGTCAATTTGCGACTGTGAGGCCAGGAGAGCAGTCGGCCGCCGGGTTGGCCCATTGGTTGCTCCTCGCTTGTGCTTGCAACCGTTAAGATATGTGCCGAACCAGCCGCCGGTCTCCAAGGCTGTGGCTGCCAAAGCTAACAAACCGACAAAATGGCGGGGACCCGAGTAAAACGAACCTATTAAGCAACTGATGACGATCCTTACCAAGAAAAGTTGTAAGGAGCCTTCCGAAATTGACCAGAATTCGATACAAATGGTGCTTGCGATGTCTAAACCTTGGGCTGTGACCCACAGGCTAGAAGAATGAATCGCATGAATTGGAAGAAGCGCGAGATGTGAGAGCAACTCAACACAAGAGACACATACACACATACACACAGACACACTCAGGTCACCCAAGCGCCCACTGTTTCACAGTCTCAAAAAATATCAGCTAAATGCAAACAAACTCTGAAATGTCAATGGCTGTCAGGGTTCCGGCGTGCAAAGGGCAACAGCTGTCTTTACTCCAAAGGGAAGAACACCATCAAACCGCAAGTTCTGGTTCGAACATTTTGTTGTTTGCATTGCATGCCAGCTGCACATGATCGAACATGACATTTACATTGAATGTACATTTTACATATACATACAAAATACATACCCATAACATGATGCAGCCAGGACAGTGGAATGCTCAACAGAGCAGTGTGTCAGCTGCAGCTCTTTAAGCATCTGTTACCTGCAGGAACATGCGACTTTGGCAGTTCCTCAGCGCTCTGGCGCCTGTGGGCTATCCCTTGCGCCCAAGGGGGATCTACTTGCTGGTACGCTAGGCAGGGAATGACCGAGTGGGTGTTGGGAATGAAGCGGGAGGGGGATTCCCTTGATTAAAGGACACCATAGGTGATGGCTTATAGGGGTCATTCCCTCGGCCCGGCCTATCCAACCAGTAAGTCTACTGTGGCATGAGAAGCTTAAGCACATCTGGACTTTGCTGCATCTAAGACTTAGGCTACACAGCCTTGGGCCCAGCAGCTCACTTTGCATCGCGTATGCGCTTAATGAGTTCAGCCTTCCGGCCGGAAAGAGGGAGGTCCATCTTCCGCAACTCTTCCTTCAGCTCGATCACGGTAAGCGACTCCAGGTTGTCAACCTCGGCCTCAGCGCTCTCTTCCTCCTCTTCATCTTCCTCCTCTTCTTCATCTTCTTCCTCCTCTTCTTCATCTTCTTCCTCCTCGTCATCCTCATGTGTCACGCAATGTCATCTCATCAATGCTTTAAGCAGTGCTTCATGCATTGCATGCAATATCATTGGAAGCCCCGTAGCATGCAACACCCAGTCGCAAAACACGCACACACACACACACACACACGGAAAATCACACACACACACGGAAAATCACACACACAGAAAATCACACAAACACACACACCCACACACACACACACACCCACACCCACCCACACACACACACACGCACGCACGCACGCTTCACATGTTGTGTGGTTTTGTTGTGTCCAACGTGTTTGTTCCGTGTGTTAAAGTCTGGTATGTGTATTGCGTGTGATGTGCGCAGAGTGCTTGTGCGTGTGTGAGTAATGTGTGTTTTTTCAATTGTGTGCTGTATTGTGTGTGCTGTGGGTTTGTTGTGCGTTTGTTGTGCGTTTGTTGTGTGTGTGTGTGGGTGTGTGGGTGTGTGGGTGTGTGGGTGTGTGTATGTATGTATGTATGTATGTATGTATGTATGTATGTATGTATGTATGTATGTATGTATGTATGTATGTATGTATGTATGTATGTATGTATGTATGTATGTATGTATGTATGTATGTATGTATGTATGTATGTATGTATGCGTGCGTGCGTGCGTGCGTGCGTGCGTGCGTGCGTGCGTGCGTGCGTGCGTGCGTGCGTGCGTGCGTGCGTGCGTGCGTGCGTGCGTGCGTGCGTGCGTGCGTGCGTGCGTGCGTGCGTGCGTGCGTGCGTGCGTATGCGTGCGTGCGTGCGTGCGTGCGTGCGTGCGTGCGTGCGTGCGTGCGTGCGTGCGTGCGTGCGTGCGTGCGTGCGTGCGTGCGTGCGTGCGTGCGTGCGTGCGTGCGTGCGTGCGTGCGTGCGTGCGTGCGTGCGTGCGTGCGTGCGTGCGTGCGTGCGTGCGTGCGTGCGTGCGTGCGTGCGTGCGTGCGTGCGTGCGTGCGTGCGTGCGTGCGTGCGTGCGTGCGTGCGTGCGTGCGTGCGTGCGTGCGTGCGTGCGTGCGTGCGTGCGTGCGTGCGTGCGTGCGTGCGTGCGTGCGTGCGTGCGTGCGTGCGTGCGTGCGTGCGTGCGTGCGTGCGTGCGTGCGTGCGTGCGTGCGTGCGTGCGTGCGTGGTGCGTGCGTGCGTGCGTGCGTGCGTGCGTGCGTGCGTGCGTGCGTGCGTGCGTGCGTGCGTGCGTGCGTGCGTGCGTGCGTGCGTGCGTGCGTGCGTGCGTGCGTGCGTGCGTGCGTGCGTGCGTGCGTGCGTGCGTGCGTGCGTGCGTGCGTGCGTGCGTGCGTGCGTGCGTGCGTGCGTGCGTGCGTGCGTGCGTGCGTGCGTGCGTGCGTGCGTGCGTGCGTGCGTGCGTGCGTGCGTGCGTGCGTGCGTGCGTGCGTGCGTGCGTGCGTGCGTGCGTGCGTGCGTGCGTGCGTGCGTGCGTGCACACACGCGCAGACAGAGAAGAGCACTAGCACCAGCACCACATAGCAGAGCACACAGAGACACACCACAACACAGCACAGCAAGCACAGCACAACGCAAATACACCTGTATCAACACTTGCGTACACAACGCGGGTAAGAACACAAAACAACCTCAACACCGAAAGCCCCACCATCACCACCTCAATCCCTTGCACCATCAACACACACACACACACCCACTCACACCCACTCACACCCACTCACACCCACACATCTACAAACACATGCGCGCACACACACACAACACACCTACACACACTCTACACAAAACACAGCCCGTGCGCACACGAGTGCATGTCGAACAACTTGGGCACGGGAGCAAAGAAGGCTCTGCCTCCTCTTCCTCCTCCTCAGGATCTTTGACCTTCACCTTCTTGACCTTCTTCTCAGCCTTCTTCCTTACTTGCCCAAGGGCACCCTGTGGCTTAAGGAAAAACACAAGTAACAACGGAAACAAGAAAGAGTACAAGAAAGGAAGCCAAAAAGGACAAAAGAAAGACAGACATGACAGAAATAAGATAAAGCTAGACACAACACAAACACCGAAATAACAAAAGCAACAAAAGAAACATGCAACACACACAATCAATGAATAAGCAAGCTAACAAGCTAACCAACTAGCTACCTACCCAGCTCGCTAAAAAGCAAACAACACAAACAAACCGGTACAACCACAACGAGGAGTCTTCTTGGCCTCTTCCTCTGCCCACTTCCGCTCGCTCTCTTCAAAAGCTTTTCTCCTCTCCTCCTCTAAACGCTTCCGCTCCGCCTCCTTCTCATCTCGGCAGGCGATGAATGAGCAACTGCTCCCAAGGCGCAAACGATATGGATGCCAAACCGACCTCTACACAGAAACAGCTGTTGGCTTGGTTCCCATCTTTCACAGGGCATTCCCAAGTGAAGCGTGGCCACGGCGCCCAAACAACCACGGCCACGGCCACAATTCATGAACCAAAATAGAACCCCCCTCGGCACCTGGGCAATTGGGAGTCCATAGTGTTGAGTTGCAATTGCACCGCTTGATCGCCGACTGTTGCAATTCAAGTCTTATTTGTTCAGCAGCTACCAAGCTGATACCGCCCGGGCTGCTTGGAAGGGTTCCGACCCCTTCTGAAATCCAAGCGAACGCAAGGCGAAGTTAAGCCCCATAATGTCCAAATGGGATTAACAAATGCACGTGTAATAAAGACAAATGGGGGCCCAAAAAGATTAATCCCCCCAAAAAGAAAAAGGAAAAGACGGAGAGAAAGGAGAGGAGAGATAGCCAAGCCAACACCTGGTCCTTGGAGCTTTGGTACCTTGTTCCTTAAATCCGAAATTGTCAGCCATGTTTTCTTACATGTCTCTTGTTTAAAACCTGCCCACACTCAAACCCACAAAGGGGGTAGTACATCAGCCCCCAACTTGACATTATATCAGGGGCCCTCGAAATAAAGTCTTGCTGCCTGGCCCCCCCCAAGAAAAACAAAAGGAAGCTCCAGCAATACTAACTCAAACAGAAACTCAAGTCTGCCAATACTAAATCAAATGGGAACTCAGTTCCAAGTTTCAAAAGGAAGCTCCAGCAATAGAAAATCAAATGGAAACTCAAATCTACCAATACTAAATCAAATGGAAGCTCAGTTCCAAATCTCAAAAGGAAGCTCCAGCAATACAAAATCAAATTGAAACTCAAGACTACCAATCCTAAATCAAATGGACACTCACTTGAACTGGATCTCAAGATACTATTCCAGGTGCCCCCATCGTTGAAGGGGGGGGTGTTGGCAAACCAGTTTCGTCTTAAAGGGACCGGGTCCCTGTCAGCTTCCATGTTAGTTGGTAGGAGGACAGTTATGCCCTTGTGGGATGACTCATAGCCGCAGCTGAGAATCCCGGAGCCAGGCAGAGCTTGGGCTCATGGACATGCTGGGAAAAAGTGCCGTTGCAGAAAGGAGTTTCTTCCCAAAAGCCAGGAGCCGAAGCTTCTAAAGAACTAACGCGCACATATAGAATATGTGAGCCAAGCCCGAATTGTCCAGCTTCCAGAACCCGCCAATGAAATATCAACCGACAGCCACGCCAACTTGACCGAGCCCCTTAGACTTGAAGTTCCAAAGCTTGGCAAAGGGATGCTTCGTCCATTTTCTCATTGGGGACTTCAAAAGAAAGGGGGTGTTACGGAGGTGGACTGAAAGTTCACCGTCCCTTTTGGGAAGGCCTCCCATCTGGGCTTGCTGACGTTGTTTCTTCGCAAACGGAAATCAGATCTCCCCAAATAACGTTCACAGATTGTGTTTTTACTTTCGGGTCAGCTTGTTCTGATTTGTGATCCAAAGCCTGGAACTTCCTGAAGTACAGGTGCAAATGGGTTGAGGGTGGGTCCTCATGTTTGGGGACCGGGGACCACAAACCGCCAACGCTGCACTTGGCCTAGGTACTTGGTCAAAAGGCACCCCTATATGGACGTTGCCCCCCAAGACAGGCTTCCATTCAGGGCCCTGTGCATTCCCATTGGTGAGATGGGTATGGGTGAAAACTAAACCACCAGGGTACCGCCAATGTCACTCCACGTTTCCCTTTACCAGGGCAACCCATTTTGGGGTTACCCTACTTTTGACAGCCATTCGGCACTTCAAGCGAGTTGAAAACCAGCCAAACACGGCCGTAGGATTCCCTTTAAAACCAACAGGTGACATAAAACATAGTCTTAAGCAAATGGAAGCAAAAGAGCTACCCCGGCCGTAGGAAATCTTTTTGCTTCGCTGGGGCGCTGAAGTCGGCCCATCTCTCGGCGTCTTGCTGCCGCTCCTCCGCCGTGATCTCGTAGGCGTTCTCTGGGGGCCTCGGACTGCGGGCGGCTCGGAGTGCCCAAGACGCACCGGTTGCTTCAAGCGGCAGGGTACTTAGTAAGTGGGGAACTAACCCACTTAAGCCATGGTTATAACCCACTTAGGAGACTTACTTAGTACAATGCCCCTTTAAGTACCATGTGCGGAATCTGCTCTAAAAGGTAGGGACCCCCAAATGCGCTGTTTGCTCATGTTAGTTGTGAGAAGGCGTGCTCTGGATACTTCAGGATTCTGGGGCATGTGATCTAAGAAGCAAGCAAGCAAGCAAGCAAGCAAGCAAGCAAGCAAGCAAGCAAGCAAGCAAGCAGGCAGGCAGGCAGGCAGGCAGGCAGGCAGGCAGGCACCCAGGCCAGGAACACAGCATCACCAGTACCTTTAAAAGTAGCCAAAGTGGCGTTGTTGACAAACGCGTGCTAAATCGTGTTCAAACGCAATGCACCATCTGTCAATCAATGAAAAACCCCGATGCTGTAAAGAGCTGCCAAGTGGGTGCTCTCTGTCAAAATATCCGTTGCGGGCTCACTGAGCAACGAACAGCAATTGTGCTTGACTTTGGAATAGCCGCAAGACTTTGCAAGCCAAAACACCCCTGTCTCCAGAACATCTCCTCCTCCGTGTACTCCTGCGCCGCAACCACATGTGAAAGGGGCCATTGGCCACAAATGGCAGTGGCTCACATAAATGTACCAGAATGGCACCTTGGTAAATAGCCCTTTGCACAGCCCTGTAATTTTGAGCCACAAATGCAACTATCCCCTTTGCGACAGCCGGTATGCGATGCAAAAGCGCAAGCCAGTGATGGTCCGACAAGGGCTCCGTTCACCTGGGACAGAGAGCTCACTATGCCTCATGCGCACTGCACGTCTGCCAACATTCACGATTGTATCCGTGCATTTCTTTTGGTCAACCCGAAGTCCAGTCTACTCGGACCAGGACAAGAGTCACATGGGGGGTGAATTTTAATAGGGGACCCTTTGGTGGACATCATTTCAGTGGGGATTCATGTCAACCACTTTGGAGGTGGTTCCCTATTAAAATTCATGGCCACTTGTCAGGACCAACCAAGAGATATTCACTGGCGGCCTCACCCACTCGCAGCCTGCCTTGGGGAAGGGACCCTTGATGACAAAGTTCAGCTCCGGGTCAGACCTTCAGCTTGAAATGTGCTTCCAAGGGGCTTCCGGAACAAGACTTGGGTGGTGCCTTCAAGTGTGACCAACGGCTGCTTCCGTTCATTTCTCTGGGGGAACACCGTCCCAAAAGGTGATCTCTAGCGCTGCTTCCGCCACATTGCAACGCAAGCATCTGAGCGTCCAAAGCCCATGAAACTTTGGTTCTACCATAATGGGCGCAACGGTTTCTCCTGTTGGTTTCCCTGGAATCACAAAAACAAGAAGCACTCTAGTATGCTCAAACAAACAACATGGCACAACGGTTTCCTTTTGTTTCCCGGTAAACCGCCAACCTTTAGGACTCATTACCTCAGAAACCTATGAAACCTAAAACCCCAAAACCAAAAAAACCGTGGGTTGAATGGAACCCACCAAACCCAAACTAAAAAAACTAAAGGCACCGGACGATTCGCTGGGAACTGCCCAGTCGGTGTGATGCGAAGTGCTTCATCCAAGTGGCTCGTTCCCTACGTAGTCCGGCTCTGGGGCTGGCTCCTCAGGCCACCAGTCCTCCACCCACTCGGGCCTCGGCACACACCCTCAACACTCAACACATGAGTGGCTCTCGTCTATTTGGAGCCCCAAAACGGCGCAACAGTTTTTCCTGTTGGTTTCCCTGGAACCACAAAACAAGAAGTACTCTAGCATCGGCAAAAAACAAATTGGCACAGCAATTTCCTTTTGGTTTCCCGGTAAACCACAGAAAAGGGGTACCAACTCCAAAAAAGAGACTCTCAACAAATACCCCTTGAAATAGCCCCAGGTTGGTGAAACGAGACCCCACCTCAAAGAAACGAGCAAACTGCAACAGAATCCCAAACCTTTGAGAACCCAGCGCCAAGCGGCATTGGGATCTTCTCAGGATTCTTCGGCTTCCTGGCGAGCAGCTCAGCCGAACAAAGCGGCGGGAAACCAACAACGGGTGTGTCTCATTTTTTTTATATCTCCGTTGCATCCAAGAGGCCTTTCAAGGAGAACCCAACACATTGGTTTCTCTTTGTTTTTTCTTTCAAACCACCCAAGCAAAGAAATTCCCCTCCAAACAAGACCGTCACACCCACGTGCGGAATCATTTCAGCCTGTCAGTTGGCCAACTGAATTCAGGCTCTCGTTCCCGCCTGAGGTCTCTGTACCAGCACTTCATCTCATAGGCGTCCGTGTCAAACTTTACCTCGGAGCCAGCCAAGTCTTGTGTTTCTGTCGCATCCCGAAAGTTCTTTTCACTTTGCTGAGTTTGAACACATTGTCCGACTCGACTCAACTCCTGAAATAAAGAACGAAACGCCCTGGATTCGCAGGCTGCAACCCACCGCCAGAGCGGCGGAGCCGGGTCGTCTCGTCCCAAGTATTCCCAAGCGCTTCGGGGTTTTGAGCGAAGGCAAATGACGACGGCGCAACTCTCTGCTCTGATTGGAGCGCCGCTACGTGTCATTTAGAGAAGGATTAATGACAAATACTTAACGGGGCATTGTACTTGGCAAGTGGGTAAGAACCATGGATATAACCCACTTACAATGGTTGTAAGTCTCCTAAGTGGGTTGTATCCATGGTTGTTACTGACCTACTAAGTGCCCTGCCGCTTGAAGTAAGCTTTGCAACAAGTGATTTCACGGTTGGCCGCACCGCATTGCAGGTGGGGCAAACATTTTTGGTCTTTCCCGACATGCTTCCGTCGGGTTCCATGTGTAGGGAAAGGGC